TCTTTCCCTGCAACCCTGAATTAGCAAAAAGAACCATAAACAAGTCAGGAGACATTTAAGAAATCCCAAGTGAAGCAGTGACACCCTTTCACATACACTAACTTGCCTTCCCTTCCAGCCACACGCTCTCTTTGAAAAGCTGCTCTCCCTGACTTGGCAGTACCGCTTGCTTCCTACTGCTCTGTGAACTGTGGGCTGCCAAAGCAAAGCCCATTGTAAAGCTGTTGTTTGCCTACAACAGGCATCTGCACACATTTATCAAGGCCACGGAAAGGCAACGCATGAGACGAGGATAAGTCAGCCAGCCCACGCTACTACACCACCACAACATAGGCACTGCCTGCTGGGTAAGAGCATTCTTTTTCAAGCACCTAGTCCACAATCTGTAAGTCATTTAACTTAACAGAAAAATAATTCAGCCAGCCAAAAAATGCATGACAGTGGCAATTTGTGTAGCACAATATAAGCCGGTATGGCATTAGCTTCTACACAGTTCTTGAGTGCGCTTCAACAATACATTATAACACACTTTTACCCCTGAGATTTTCTCTGGGAAGAGATTTCCACCAGATGACTTTATAATATGAACAACCTTCTACTAAGCTGAAATTCCAAGAAAGAAAAGCCTGTCCCTGTTGCTTGAAACACCAAATTTTAACTCTTCAGACATACAGCTGAGCTGGCACACATTTAAAATTAAATCAACCATGGCCTGCTTACTTCACTGTGGGCACAACAGATCGCAAGCACTATCTGCAGAAGATTGCAGTTGAGGATTATTAGCCTAAGTAGAATCTCCATGTTCAAGTTTTATTAGATAGTGAAGATTCTTTTTTTTACTGGCCACTTCTTACACGCTGATATTGTACATTTGGCATTTATTTCACCTTTTAAATTTCCTGAGCAATCAGTGAAATGAAGCACTTATCTACTGCATTCAACTTGGGGCAGTACTCACACTTGCAGAAGCTCCTCGCTTTGGACAGCCAGAGATGCCTATAAACAGACCAGAAGCTCATTAGGAGCAGATCAGCAGCAACGACTGGTGCAGAGGGCATGATCTGCCTTGTTAACCAGGCACTGCTGCACCACTAAGCAGCTACACTCCTGGCCTTCAGGGGAGTCCTGTCCAACCTCCTTTGGCCAGAACCACTCTGGCTATGATACAGCGTGTAGAGACAGCGGTGGAAAGCCAGACGAGAACACAGCAGGCATAAGAAAGAGCACCAGGCTGCAAATCCACACGATGAAGGGAAGCAGGAACAGATAGGCAACAGCCAGAAAAGCTGGCTTAGTGCAATCCAACCCTGAAGCTATCCCTGGATTTGCATGCTCAATACAACTACTGGTTTTCCAGGCCATCCATACAAGCTACCACCACCCCCCTTTGACTTCACTCTGTAACAATGCAATTGGAAGCTGTACCTGTTTGCAATTCTCCTGCTTTAATTCTTCAATTTGAACTTTAAAAGATTCATTTTCCTTTTGCACATCCTGTTGAAAGAAGAGAGGCATTATATACACACGTATATGTACAGATATACGCCCACAATACACAGGCTCCTTGCAACACAAGGCACTTTTACCAAAACTTTACCTGCAACTGTTTTACTTGGCTTGCAATTTCTCTCTCTTTTTCCTCCACTACAGCTTTCAATTTCTTCCTTTGTTCTTCTTCCCCTTTCAACCTGCAGAGGTAGTTTAGAAAGTAAGAAAAAAAAAAAGGGTTAAAGTCAGAATTTCTGCTAAAAAGGGACAGACACTCTAACTGGGACAGTTTTCAGCAGCAGAAGATAACTAAGTTTCATGTGCTATATATATATAATAATCAGCCAAAAGGAGAGCACACACACACAGAAGCAGCCATTGCACTACGGCTGCAAACCAAGAAAGCCAACAAAAATACACACCAGCTGCAACAACATGTATTGCAAACGCTAACCTGCTAAGAACTGGCCCGAAGCAAGCTAGTCATTTCACATGTCAATCAGCAAACACATTCAGCCATAGCTGATTTCAACAGCATTCAGAGCCCGAGTGGGAGAGAAGGAACTGCTCACCTGAGGAAATCCTGCAAGCCAGCTGGCTGGGAAGGTGCCAGGGACAGTCTCCTAAAGGTGAGGCTGCCTTAGGTACCATGTGCTGGCTATACAGGAGCTCTGCTGGGAGGGCAGCACATTTTAAGAGCTGCACTGGAGACAGAGCCCTTTTTGGCACAGTCTCGTACAACCTTCCTCTGACTTACAGCAGCCAGGCAAAGCAGAAACAAAACAGAGGAAAGTCTGGCAGCGTTTCTCCATAGAACAGGAGAATTGGCTATTGCATCCCAGACTGAAAGTGGCAAACTCTCTGTTCATGGCTTTTACCGACTCAGCCACAGGCACTTAAATCCACACGCTTTTAAACATGCTAAACAGAAGGAGAAGTTATCACTAGACACAAGAAGCAGCAGCTATTTCACTAGTTAGTAGAGCCCTGGGCGATCATTCCCTCCCGTAAAGCGTACGAGCACTGCTCCTTGGGCACGCCAGGCAGGGACGCCAGACACCCGCTATTACACAGAACAGCAGACAGGCTGGCTGGTGTACGTCCATCAGCACTAACAGCTTATTTTAGCAAAGCCCATAAAATTCTTGAAACCAATTCATACATTCCAGCTGAAGACAAACACCAGCACTGAACAACTGAACACACATTATCAGCAGGCACTTGAGAAACTGCTACTAAGCGTACTCACAGGCTCTCCAGCTCCTGGATTTGGGATGCAGCAGGTACCTGAAAAACAAAGTCATTCCCAACCTCATTTTGATGGCACAGTAAAGCTTTCAAATTAACAGCAACTCTTTGCATGAGCAGGGGCACCACACAGCTTGCAAGAGATATACTACTTGCCAAAGAAATACCACAGAATTTTGCATCAGACATTGCTCCAAGAGTAACTGAACACATCATGGATTTCAGGAGCACAGCTTACACCAAGCATCCCAAACTTGACACCAGCCAATTTCTCTCCATTCCACCTCTCCCCTCAGATAAATGCCTGTCTAGACATCCACACAAAACAGGAGTGCAAGTGAGTTTCTCCCCTTTATCATCAACAAAAATCCGAACTGAGCTATTCCCCCTTATTGGACAAGTCCTTCCACTAAGTAACACCTGGCCTCAAGGATGGGCAGTTGCCTGTTCTCAAGCCCAGCGCAGGAAATCAAAAGCCAAAAATATTGCAGCCAGTTGCAACTTCTGCAACAGTTAAAGGCAGGACGGAATCACAGCAAAGCCTGACCGCTTCAAGAGGAGCTGCTACGTTCAGTCACAGCAAGAGTTCCTCCACAGGCCTACAGAGATGCTACTTCAGTCTGGCCAGGAGGAACCTATGGCACAGCTATGATACTGCTGAGGAGCTTCAAAGTTTTCAGACCCCCACAGCCACTCGTTGTGCGTGGTATCATCCAGGTTAAAGAAAAGCTCTCGGGACCTGTCAGCCGTGTAACACCTGTTTTAGGCGAACACAGGCAAACTAGTGGGCTCTCTGCACTGTAGACTACCAGTTTAGTCAAGTAGGATTTAAAATCGCTCTGTAGGTTGAAGCCAATGCAAACCCTTTGTAAGGGGGAGAGGACAAAACCAACATCATCCAGTTCAACCGAGCAGCACTCCCAAGCCACATCCATTCTGCAAGCCACACCTGCTGGAGCTGTTGCAGGTTCTGTTGTTCTAACTCCTGAACTTTGTTCGTTAATTGTGCAATTGTGTCCTTCTGACCCTTGGGACAAAAAAAAAAAAAAAGGCAAGTTTAGAAGTGTAAACACAACTTTTCCATAGCCAGAACTACTGCAACAGAACTTACTTCCCTTTGGAATACCACGGAAGCTTACCTGCAGACATTCTCCTTTCTTAACAATCTCTTTCTCCTTCTCTTCCAATAAGGCCTCCATGGTTTTCACCTGCTTTTCCTTCCCTTTCAACCTGCATGATTAAACACACAGACACACAGCATAAAACCTTGCTCTTTTATCCATCTGGGAAAGAAAAAAAAAAGCCACCTTATGCTTTGCAGCACATAACAAGAGCAGCATATGTGATTAAACACAATTCACTCGCTAAAAATCAATGTGTGAACACTTCCACTCCCGTCTGGGTTACCAGGAGATGCCTTTGACCAATGGTACTGCTCATTCAGTGAAAGCAGGCAAATTCTGCACCAACATATATTGCAGGGATTTCACACACGTGTGCTCTCCTCATGTAAAGATACCTCCTTCCCCCTCCCGAGTCGGGGACACGAGGGACTGACAACCATGGTGCCTCAATTCTCACCCACCCAACCACAGCACAGATATTTCCAAAGTCAGTCTGCCATAGTGCCTTGCCTACATCCTTCCACCCTGACTTGAATTTAATCCCTTACAGCTTAATTAGGGCTCACGAAGCCACGCAGCACTTCACCTTGTTTGCTGGCCCAGGTACGTCTAACAAAGACGTGCATCTACAAAGACCAGCGTTAACAGCCTGGATCACTTCATGCAAAGTGTAGGCACCAGGCAAGAACATTTTAACTTAAAATAGACCGGAGCAGGGAAGCGAGGGGTGCACAGGGCAGGTCAGACATGCTAACAACTGTACTTACAGAGTCTGAAGTTCTTTGACTTGTGACGTAATCGACACCTACAGAAGACAATCAGTACTTCAGTTTAATGCACACTGGCAAGACACATAAATGCTATAAACTGCTCTACGGAGAAACAGGGGGAAAAGCCAGTATACATCATTAAAACAGGCACTGCTTGTTATGTAAGCATAAACATGCCTTTTTTTTGTGGGAAAATAAATTACGAGAAGCCAAGTGTCTCCACTATTTACTTTCTCCACATTTAAAACGCGACTTCCAGAGCCAAAAAGGAATCAGTGCAAATGGGGAACACAAGCAGGCCCACCAGAGCACCCTTCCACCACGAGTGACAAAGGAAGAAGCAGACACTGATGATGACAACTATCTCATTAGCAACCGCAGCTCAAATCAGAGAGATCATCCCTGGACACTTAGAATTTTGTACAAGCACGTGCTCTTTAGATGCCCTCTGCAATGTCAGCACTTCCTTAAATTCCCATTCTAAGGCTGAATATTGATTGAAGAAACAAGATTTTGTGGGAATATTTCCTATGAATTTTGTATAAAAGCCTGACAGTGGCTATCTGCGTAGACACTGGCTGTCCAAACAGCTAGCTTAGTTTAGTCCTCTACCATGACACAACGGGAGTTTCAGACATCCCCAAAAACCTCCATTCCGCTTGCAGGAGACCAAAAAGGTCCATAATACACCACCTCTGGAGCAAGCATCCCTCATATGTAGCTTTCCAGAGATGGCAACTTTAAACTGCATCTTGTTCTGGGCTGTGTCAGTTCCAGGGAAGGAAATACACACAAATAATCCCTCCAGCTCCTGGGAATTTGCTTTGGAGGAAAAGCCCAAGATGGAAACACATTCTGTGAGGCTTTGCCTAAAAAAGGACAAAACTTAAACACTAAGGAAAGAAGAAAACGGGGTGACATGTTGGAATGTAGCTAGAAAGACTGAAAAAAAAAAGTGCAGACCAAAAAAAACCCAACCCACACACCCCACACAAACAAGCAAGCAAACTTCCTGACAGCACGATGGATGAAGCTGCCTGCAGAATGGGCTCCCTAAGGAAACGTGCGCTCCCGTTGTTTTGGATGCTAGACAGCAAGCATGCCAAAAGAGCCAGTACTCCTCCGTTTCTGCATTCCTGATAGCTAGAGTAACACTTCCTCTGCCAAGACAGGCTTTTGGACACTGGAAAAAACAAACTGTCTTAGGTTTACCTGGAAACCAGATGCTATTTGGGCCTGTGGTATTGTTTTAGCAACACAGAAAGGCCAACAAAAGGAGAAGCACCTTCAGCACTTGAGATTTCCACGTTGCCAGCCTCAAAGGACAGTATGCAATATGCCCAGCCAGAGCTAACGCTACAATGCTTTAAGTTATAGCAATTCTTGCCAAATTTCATACTAAAAGTCCAAAAAGCTCAGGCATCCAGAGGAATGTGGTTTCCAAAGGACAGCAGTAGTTATGCTACGTATTTACAGCTTTATATCCAAAATAGTGTAGCTCTACCATTCAAGAGTTCCCTTACCCAATGACATTCACCAGTGAAAGAAAACACACTAGAACAGAAATGAGTGAGCAGCGCATCCAAGGCAAGGCTGTTTCACGCTTCTGGCACTAAGGTATTTTACCTGTTTTTCCATCTCAAGCTGGGAATTTCCTATTTCTTCTTTCAGAGCCTCTATTTCCTGTGTCAAAGCCTTTTCAATGACAAAACAGACAGGATTGGACAATGGAAACACAAAAACGCCACAAAAATGGATGCTACAAATTCATCACTACAGAATGCCATGCGGTAACAAATAAATGGTAGTCAGTGGCACAGACACAGAAAGGACAGTAGCTATTGCAGAGACAGATACCTGAACAGTCTTCTCCTTGCTTGCTACTTTAAGGATTTCAGCTTGTAGGAGTTCTTCCACCGATTTTATTTTTCCATCCTTCTCATGGATCCTGAAACAGAGCAGAGGAACAACATTAGCTGGCTGAACAAACACGCTACTCGAGCAAATACACAAGCTTTGGTTCTGCTATCACATCACATCACCAGCCTCTGGGATCCACAGTGGGACCAAGCAGGAGAAACAAATGGGAGAAGTAAACAGTGGGAACAAGCTGGCTTTATAGAACCAGTAGTTCACATGCTAAATAGACACTATTACTGCCTAAAAATGCAAATTAAGGTATCAATGGCCCCTGGAATTACACACACACAACTTCAGCCTTCACTGGACATTCCAGCAAAGTATTTATCAACTTCAAATACACGCACAGAGAGCGAACAAGCTCACTCCTTTTAGAGTGCCTACTGAAGAAAAAACAATTACCTGACACTTCAGTGCAACTCCTTGTCTAGTCAAAGTTAGGTTTATGAAGTTAATTGTTTAGCAGAGAAACAACCGGATTTTCAAAGGGTATTGATCTGACATGACATGTTCCCAAAGCGATAATGCTCTGCCACACACACACACACTACACCCAGTTAAAAGCACACCATTTCAGGGAAGCAAAACACTTGTAGTCACAGAATAAAAGACAGAGAGAAGTAACAATCGGAAATGAAATCTGCAGTAACTTACACCTTCTGGAGTTCTTCCACCAGTGACTGGAAGGAAACCTGTTCAAAACAGAGCTTCAACTTAGAAAAACAGAAGAGAGCAAAACAATCTGCAAGTGTTGAGGGGTAAGGAGCAGAGAGCTTGAGCACTCTGGCACTGGGTAAACTATGTAGCAGCCTAACGATTTTATCTATCTCTCTGCTCCCGAGAAAATTAGCTGTTGGTCTCCAGCTCCTGGCAAACCAATAATAGCAAGTCTGCTGCAAGTTCCACGAAAACAAAAGCGAGCCCACACCACCTTTACCAGGAGAGGTTGAGGTTCAAGCTCAGCATTTGATCAGCTAACCTTTTCATACTGGCACTACTGTACACACCTCTCCAGTTTTTGTGCTTCTCCTCTCCCGTAAATCATTTCCTAGAAATCAAGTGCCCTTCTGAGCTGTCCAAGCAGAGCTGGATGTCAAGGAAAGGCACTTCCCGATCAGCACCGAGTGCACAGCCAAAATAATAATAGTGACAGTGCGGCTGAACAGAGACACAAACAGAAGGGGGCTGTGTCACAGCTGCACAAGTGTGGATTAACATCAGAAAGCTCAAATACGCCCAGCCAAGCTGATGCAGCACGAGCTGCCTACCAGCCACGCTTGCTGCACTAGGCTTCTGGAAATAAAGCAACCCACAGCCATTTCAGTGCGTGGCAAACTGGAGCCAACCCAGAACCGCCACCGAACTGGAATCTTTACATCTGCCACATTTCTGACACACAGGCAGAGGAAGTATTTGACAGAAGTTATCAGCTTCCAGACCAACGCTGGAAGAAAACAGGATGCTTTGCCAACAAGCTTCAAAGACATCTTCACCTTTTTCCCTTGACTTTTGCAACCACAGCAAGATTCTTCTTAGATTTAGTTTAGGTGTAATGAAAGTTTTAGATGAAAAGTACTACCTGCTCTGATTGCTGAATTTGCAGACTTTGAAGTTCTTTTCTCAAGGATGAATTTTCCGTTCGCAGAGCCTTTGAAAACAGACACACAGATAATGAAAGACTCATTTGTTGGGGGGAAAAAAAAAAAGTGTTAAGCTTGACAGAAAAGTCACTTCTTTTAGAACAAGTGAAAGACTTTGAAAGTCTGAAAAAGACCCTCTCTGCAGCAGTTGGCACCCAAGTATTCAATGGACTGTTAATGCATTATGGACAACCCAGAGTGGACTTCAACCCAGAGGAAGCTAGAGTCCAGGGAAACATCAAAGGTGATGTGCTCACACCCTTGGCTGCTTAGTAACCTGACCACTCATGTGCAACCCCTCCCCAGTACATGGGTGTCAGAGACACACCTGGAACTTGGGGACATTAAGGTGGTGAGTGTTGTCTTGGCTATGTCTGGGTAGATAGGACACAGCTTTCCAGCAAAACTCATCTGAAAACAGACAGGGATTTTTGCACTAGCTTTCCAGATTTCTCACCGCTAGCCTCTTTATAAACAGAGCAGGAAGGAAAATACCTTTAGCACCATCCCAGGAGTGTCACTAGTTTATAATCCGTTTAACCCTTCAGATTACCAACAAAGTAAAAAGATGCAAGAGTCCTACACTGCCAACTTTTTACAACACACCCTTTCCTAAAGGCAGATTTGTGGCAGATTAGGCCAAACATACAGCTCTGGAGATGTATTCTTTGTATTCCAAGAGACACCAGATATGCATCCTAGCAAAACCTGCTCTAGACTAAGCAGAGAGCAGCACACACTGTACGCCATCAATGGTTAGCCTACCTTACCAAGAAGGTTTTCAACCTTGCCTCCATGACATGCTTTTCCTATTCAAAGGGAACGAGCTCAGACTGCGCTATAAGCACTCGAACATACACTTTGCATAAAAGCACTTAAACTCTACTTCCCCATAAAAAGATAATGTGAGAGATTTTTACCTTCAGCTCCTCCTCTTTATTAGCCACCTGTATGAGTCCTGCCTCAAGCAGCTCTTCAACTGTCTTGATTTTATCATCCCTCTCTCTCATGCTGAGAAATCAGAAGTGAGTATTAGGAAAAAGAGTTCACCTTTGAAGGCAGTTTAGCTAACAACAGTAGCGTTGCTGCCAACAAAACTGGATCTTTATTTTAGCCTCTGATTCAGAAGGAAAAAGTTTCTTACCTTCTTTCCATCTGCTCTAACAAGTCTTTGTTTGTCTATAAAAAAAAAACACAATAGGGTGATCATTAACTGGATCAATAACGGTTTGGGATTTTAAAAACAGAAGTAACTGGAGAGCATCAACTCAACCAGAAGCTTAGGTACCACACTAATTCAGAAGGGACAATAAAGTAGGGGAAGAATGTCCTCCTGGCATGCGTGTCTAACATTGATGCTGGAAAGATGTTAAATCTATCAGGGGAGGCAGAAATTCAGCCCAAATGCCTTGATGATTTTACACTGATGGACTACACGAGTTCTGGCAACTAGCTGCTGTGGGACACGGGATCCCACTGATCCTCCGGAGTGTCAAGCATGCCAAACACTGTGCAGCATCTAATCCACACCAGCCTGCTCAGTACCTGAAAAAAAATCTGCCTCTCTTGAGCATTTAATCAAAGCCACAAGCTCCACCTGAGGCTCACTCAGCAGAACGTTTATGATTTCTCAACACCACCACATTGTGACAGACCACACGAGAAACATAAGCTACCAAGACAAAAAGATTTCAGACAGGACACCAGATCAGCCAGACCCAGGGGAATAAGGCTGCAAATCTGGTTCTCTACCAGAAGAAAGGGAGCTGCTCCAGACAGGTTGCTGCTAGCTACCAGACACCAGCGCAGAAAAGGCATTATGTTTCCTGTCCTGCAAGTCTTTTTTCCAGAGTTTCAGGAAGTTTTCTCATTCCACAATGGTACAAAGTCACGAGTGTTCGCAAGAGCTCTCCCAGGCAACACTTGCCAAGGAGATGGGGCTGAGCAACACAATAGCTTTGAACCTGCAGCATCCTGCACAAGCACCAGTCAGGCAGGTGTGCCGTGGGCAAAAACATAGAAGAGGAAGGACAAAAGACATCACGATGTACGTGGTTTTCCCATTCCATGGATCTGTTCTCTGGCTACCACTGGTTTGAGAATTCATTCAAGGATGTAAGAAAACAAGTAGGGTAAAGTTCTTACTCCGGTCTCTCCACAGCTCAGTAAAAAGCCTCTCCCCTGGAAGGGCAAGTCATACATAGTATATTTTTTATTCCAGAAAATTACTGATAAAACTGGGAGAGGTTGCAGAAACAAATTCTTCCTTGAGTTAAACTAGCATTCTCCAGGGGAGAAAAAAACAAAACAAAACAAAAAACCCACCACATTTTGTTTGGACACTCTTGACTAGCTCTAGAAGCCGGTCACAACCGCCTTACTCAAACCCTCCATGGAAAAGAAAACACCTGAAAAGCAACAGGCTTTGACACCAACCAGCTCAGCCTAGGGCCAGCTTAAGAAAAATACTTAACAAGTTAAAAAGAACAGAAAATACTTGATACAATCTCAGTGAACACTGGCTATACCTGCTCAGACAGGAGAGTCTGCAGCTTCTGAACTTCAGCTTGCAGAGCTGCGTTTTGATCCTTGAGAACCTGCAAGGAAATTTAAACGCTGTATCAGTTCAGAACTACAACATTTTCATAATGGCAAAGAGGTAATTAAATAGCACAGAAGTCGTTACAGTGAGTTCTTCGGAAGCTACAAGACTACAAAGAGTCCTTTCCCCTTCTTTCTTGCTTTTCTGTATTAATACTTCTGTCCTTATGTTCCCATGAGAAATTCAGCTGTTACCACCTTTATTCCCAGGCAGAGAATCAGACAGTACCAAGCGTGAGAGGCAAGAGAAACTGCATTTTCCTCCTAAAGCAGCATCAGCATCACATCAAGATTTGATAGCTGCCTCCCACAGACAATTCATCTAGCACAGCAAACGGTCTAGGATCCCCTCTAGTTCTCTTCAGGTGCCTCAACACTGAGAATGCACATGAAGGAATCTGCAATCCAGCAGCAGAGAGTTTTCCACAGCTCCCACACTTTGGTCTAACTGCAGGCTGGGAAGAGGTGAATCAGGGAGACAGACAGCCGTACCACGGACCTCCTCTCCAGCATGCCTGCTCCATACAACAGACACGGCAGCCCTTAACAGACAGGCTGCCTTGTCTGGATTCCTCATATATGTTTTTAAATCCTCCTCTATTCTTGCTTTACAAAGTCTTTTTAAAGACTTGCTTGGTGCTTTACAAAAGGAAAAAGCAGGACACATGACCTGTGCTACAGACCCAAAGCCTTACAGAGGCAACACAAGCAGGAAGGGACAGCAATGGCAAGGATTAAAAGAATTGCTCTGTGTTGAACCAGGCTTTTCCCTCTTTCATGTGCATGGGAAAAATGCAGCACTTCCTCAGGTGGAAGCACTTAGCACAGAGCTGGTCTGGCTTATGTTTGGGATCAAAGACATGAGGATGAAGAGACTAGAAGGACACATAATACCCATGCTGAGAGCACACCACGGATTTCCACAGTATCACTTCTCCATTCACTTCCCAAGAAGTGCTAGAATTGCCTCCAGATGATTTTTGCCACTACTTAGCACTGAGTTGATTTCAGCACAAAACCATCCACAACACCTCGAGGGCCTCTTTCCTGGGTAACAGTTACTACAGAAACCATCACACTAAAGGAAGTTCAGATTATTCCTCCTCACATTCATTTTCACTTCACCTGCCATATTAAAGTGTTCCACCACACTGAAATCCCTGAGAGTGTCACTAACTTGACGCTTGCCGACTTACTCAAGCCTGCCACCTCTTCCCACTCCCCTTTCCAGACCATTTATGCATCCATTACCCAGCACACACTTCACTAAAGATTCAGTTGTTGGCTTTATTACAAAAATCAACTGAAGTTGTACTTTGTTTCCTATTCTATTAATTGAGCAAACTTCTTCCATCTTATTCTCCGACAGCATAAGAGAAACTACAGAGCCTTGCAAGGAACTCACATCAAAAGCTCTTTGAAAGTGCCACTAACACATCAATCAAGTTTACTACCTGCTGGCTAACACCTTCAAAGAGCTCCAGGAGACTCACGAGGCATGGCTTCCCCTACGAAAGCATGCTGCCTCTGCCACTACCCTCCCACTCTGTTCCTCACTAGCAAACTTACCAACTCGACATTACGAGATTCAGAGTGAGTGACCTTTCACCAGAAACATCAGAAGAGCAGCAGTACTCAACATGGGCTTTAAAGGAGTTAAAAAGATGGAGTCATCACCTTTCTCAAGAAGCAGGTCTACTTCTAACAGCTGAAGTTCAGAACAAAAAGCCTAAGGTGGCAGAGGGCAAGGAGGGGTTAAGTTGGTCTCTGCACACACCATCTAGAAACAAGCACCAGCTTTGCTGTGCAGACCCCAGATGTCACAACTAAAAGCTCTGGCAATTTAGCTACAGCCTTATGAGAAACAATTTGGAAGATGGCAGAAGACAAATAAGCATTTCTACACCTGCCTTGACAGGGGAGGATAAAAAAAAAGAAAAAAGACCTGACAACATGACAACCCAACAAACCAAGGCCTTGAAAATCATATTAGAAGGCTGAATGCAGGAAAACCACAATAGTTTTTACTGAACAACCTCCACTTCCAGATTTCCAAGTCCTCACTCGTCACAACTGCAGACACTGCCCTTAACTCGTGTTACCCCATCTCTTCCCCTACTGCACAGCCTGTTGCTACTACTGTGACAACCCACACGGCTCTTGCCTTGCAAACAGAATACTGTAATTTACCTTAACACCCAAAAGTCAGTTCTATTTTACAAATCAACACCCAATTGCATGAACTGCTCTGCACCCTCCAAAGTCCCCAAAAACTTACTGTGAATAAGCACAAGAACAGCTATTCTGTATCTTACCTTGAATTCTTCTTTTGTGTTTGAAATCTGAGCAAGTTCTTCTCGAAGCTGATCTTCAAGGGTTCTTATTTTGTCATCTTTGATGTGAATGCTGAGACACAGCAGCACAGTTAAATATGTTTCCTCATCCAAGTCTTACAAAAAGCATCGACTCAAAAGAACACAAAAGACTGATAAACACTGTTTATCAAATCCCAGAGCTATTTACCTTTTCTGCATCCTTTCCAGCTCATGTGCAGCAGCAGCCTAGATATAAAGAGGATTAACACAGACTTAGGATACATCACATGATTCAATCAACCTTTCATTCCACAATATTAAAAAGCTAGAACAAGTCATTTGGCCTCTCAGCACACGACTCGGCGGCAGGAGTGAAAAGGGTAAGCTTGCCTTCATGCACTTTTAAAGCACCAACGTACACAAAGCAAGCATGCAATTACGCAAAGGGAGGAAGATCTTTAAGAGATTCATTTGGTAACCAGGATTATCTCTACTTAAACACTTTACTTCCACCTCCGTAATGAACAGGTCACATAGCAGTAAGAGGGGCAGCGTTTTGTTTGGTTCTAAGAAGATATTGGGGGGGTGGGGGTGGGGGTGATGTGCGTGCTTTTGGGGTTTTTTAGAGGGATGCTTATGACCCCTTGTATGCCAACGCCAGGACTGCACATTCAAGCGCAGTTGTGTTCACTCCTGTGAAGAGAGAGCCCTGCAACCCGCGTACCCGCCACGCTAAAGCAACCAAATCGCTTCAGTAACTTGGATATCTGAGCAAGGAAGATTCTGCTGGTGAAGGAGGGGTGAGAAGCAGCCCTCCCAGCAGCTACGTGTGCTAGCCCGATTCAGTAGCCTCACACCTTCAATGTGCTCAAGCATAGCTGCCTTAAAGCCAATGGATCTGCATTTGCATTCATGACAGAACAGGCAGCGGGAAAGAGAGTAAAGTTAAATATCTAATGAAACTATTATTTTACCTGTTCATTTGTCAGAGCCTGTAACTTCTGTACCTCTGACTTCAGGGACAGGTTCATGTTCTGCAAGACCTGAAGGAAGGCGAACAATAAATGTATTTGCACTTTGCATCGAGACAGTATTTCAGGTTAAGTTCACTCTCCAGTGCAAAGTGTTTCAGGTTACTTTTAGAAGGACTCTAGAGGTAATACAAAGGAAAAACCTCAAGCTTTCTTATCAACAGCTTCCCAGCATCAAGTGTTGGCCTTGCCTAGAAGAGCAAAACCAGCAGACTTGTAGCTGAAAGAGCTCCAAAGGCAGCAGCCTTGTGGGCTTTATTTTGCAGCCTCTCCCTGTACAGCTGGCATTTACACATGCTTTTATTATACCTTGAGCTCTTCCTCCTTGCTGGTTAAGTTGGCATGTTCATTGCCTAACGAGTCCTCCATCTGCTTTATCTGTTTGTCCTTTTCTGCAATCCTGCACAAATGAGACATGATGATGTGTCAGTACTAAAAGGTCTTGGATGAAAGCGCTACATGCAGCACCAGGCTAAAACACACGCTGGCCCTTAAGTCCAGCTCCTACTCTAAATCCTGCTGACAGTACACTTTAGGTCCAAAAGCTTTTCCATCCATTTTAAATGCTGTTTGCTTGCCAAAAATCTGAGACATTCTTTAGCTCTGAAACACAACAGCTACCCCATCTCCCAAAGGAAGAAATCTCCTGGCACAGCCAGAGAGCCCAAATATTAACAATCCTCATGGGCACGCGCATTCCTACACTGACCCCTGCACACAGGCAGTGGTAAACAAGAGGAGACACTGCTTTCTGTGTAGCGCAGAGCCACGTACAACCCGCTCCAAACCTGAGGCCAGGCACGGAAGGGAAATCCGCAGGAAGCGGTTTCCCAGCTCCCAAGTCAATCTCATGGTGAGAAGTTAAAAGCATAGACAGCAACATTTCCTTCACCAGTCCCTCCCACACGCACTGCACGTGCACGGAGGAAAGGTGGCGTGCATTAAAAGCCAGTAACACCTCCCAAATACCAGACGAAATGAGTGCTCACACTTTGTGTAGTTCTTCTGCCAGGACTGACGCTGAGGTCTGCAAAAGGAAAGGGAAAAAAAAAAACAGTTGAAAGTAAAGCAAGTCAAAGAATCAGTGAGCCAGGAACAGCATTTGCAAGATTTGTCTAGTTATTTTAAACTGGCACAGGACACTTCCAACTATTTCCTGGCTAAGGAATACTGAAGGAATACCAGCACATACTGACGTTCCTTTCCCTTTGGCCTAAGGCAACATGAAGGGAAAAAAAATGAACCATCTTATTTGCCCTTTACCAGATTCAAACAAGTCACAGGAATCACCAGCACTTGCTTCCCAAGGATTAAGTGCTTTATGGGACATTCTGCTGACAAACCCCTCAAATTTAAAAAAATACAACCAAAAAACCCTGCACAGTGCATCAGGACTTGTGTTAGGAACAGAAACGGCAGCATAAAATCCGCAAGCGGCATTTTTTCAGCCTGGAAAAAGCCTATTCCTATGTGGTCACCCACAACAGGGCGGGAGAGACCCACCACGCTGGTTATCAAAGCATCCAGGGACCTCTGCAGACTGTTTCATGTCCATTCATATTCATATAGTTTGCTGTGGCAGAACTTCCATGTTCATTTGTGCTCCACATACATGCTTTTCCTTATCCAGCCTTACCCTCCCCCAAAATCCTGGATCTCGCAGAGTTTGTGCCCACGGGACTCTGTAACAATTCCTATACTGCCTTATCCAGATCATACCATAGAGAACAGAGAGGAAAAAAAAAAAATCTAAGGGAACAAGTACTTCTAGTCCCAGAGGTCTCCTTAACGACCAGGACAGTTTCATCTGGATGTTCAGAGCAGTATCCAGTCCAACCTTGCTTCCCCAGAGTGCTATTCTCACACCCACTGTCCCTAGTGGAAAGATGGCCAGCGGGGCTACATGGAGAAAGCCCATACCTCCTTCCAACAGCCTCCTTGGGCAACCCAGAGCTAAAAGGTAAAATTCCCCTAGGGACTTATTTTCAAAGCCCTTTTAAAGGGCTGGGACGAGAGGAGTAGGTCATGAAGATGCTGTAAATCCAGAGTGTCTCTTCCTTCCCTACTCTTCCCCACCCCATGGGTGAAAGCACCTCAAGCCAAGCTAAATGACACATTTTCAGTCTGATGTTGCATTTAACTGAACTACATCAAACCACATCAATGATTACGAGAACACAGCACCCAACTGCATAGGAACAGTCTCCACTTGGGCCCACAGAACTTACAGCCTTTCTGAGACCATTTCCGTGACCTAGCTCTACATGGAAGCAACTTCAGTGACTCTGAGGTTTTACATAGTGTTTACAACAGAAATAATTTCTCAAAGAAACCCGTCAAACTAAAATTTTAGAGATGAAAAGAATTAAGAGAGGCATTGTGCAGGTTTGGTGGGTTTTTTTGGTGTTTGAGAAGACACCACTAGAACGAGCAAATAGCTTTGTAGGGCAGCTACCATAAGACCATTTCACAACCTGATGCACAAGGGAAAAGCATGAGGAGACAGTTCACAGGAGGACTGCAAAAAGAACCACATGACAGTTGTACACATGCAAAGCTACAGAAAACAAACTTTCAAAAAGGTATTCTACCCTTTGGTTACAACTGAAAGCCGCTACAGGAGGAAATACGTCGATATTTTCCCCCAAACGGACAGCAGAAGCTTAAGTTTTAACTCAGTTTGAGAAACATTAGCAAAGGGGATGCTAACAAGCCTTTGCTTTCAGCGTTACATCTCTCATATCTAGCTACAAAAAAATCTGACTTTTAATGAGAGTTCCCAATTCACGACTACAAAAGAAAGTCTGAGAACATGCTGTACCTGGGCTGCCATTTGTGAATGAAACTTCTGAAGCTGAGCATTCAAAGCATCATTCTGCTCTATCAGCTCCTTGTAAGAGAGCACAGAAAGAAAAGCAGGCTGAGATCTGCAGCTAGTCAACTTTTGCTAGGATTAGCTCTTAGCCATGATTACGTTAGTAAGAACAGTTTAGCATTTACATGTCAGACACTTTTCAAAGACGCTATTTTTCTCCCCACTAAAATTAACCAGTTTGAGTGGAAGCATAAGAACCTTTTCAAGAGAAAAATACTCCCTGCCCCACCGAACACCACTCGGTTTCCCTGAAGCCCTCCAGAGCTACGGCCACACTGCCTCTCACCACTTGATGCCAGGAGAAGAGCTCAGGCCAACATCAAGAAGTACATGGCTGCTCTTCCAGGGTGTTCCCCAGACCACAGGGGTCATTTCACAGCTCGGGAAACTGCCTGGGTCAGCACATTTTCCTGACTTGCCCAGAGTGCTTCTCCGGTCTGAGATGGCCCCAGACCTCCTCCCAGCACCACACACACGGTCTCACTTCATAAGTTGCCAGATGATAGACCGGCACATCATTTTCTCATTCTTTATTCAAAACAGGAAAGCTTTACTAAAGCAGCATTTCAAGGATATTACTGCATTTCCACGAGCACAAAGTGGGAGGAAAACACCCAAACCCTTAAGATACTTGAGCAATACTACCTGCACTTGCATCTGCATGGAGTCCTCCGCAGTAGCTCTCTTTTGCTCAGCCTCCATTAACTGCAACATCCTCTGCTCCAGCTGCTGTTTTGACACCATTGTATCCGTAAGTTTACTGTGCAAGCTCTGGATTTCATTGTCTTTGGCCACAAGCTTATTCTGCACATCTGCAGCAGAAATGTCAGGGTTTTAATAAATACAGTAGAAAATATTTAACTTCAGGGGAAATAATTTTCACTGAAAACAGCGAGGCTGATTAGAAGCCTCATTCCAGCAAGCCAAGGTTCACCTCTCTCCTCAGCACTCAATCTAACAGGTATCACAGCACACTATTTCCCCAGGGTGTTGAGAGAGTACTGACTTCCCACGAGTTTTATTTAAGGCATTTACTCAATAATGCCCTTTTTTTTTTTTTCCCTTAATTTTTTTTTTTTTTTACACAAATGGCAACAGCCAAATCACCACTCCAGTAAGCATTATTTGGGAATTTTGGGATACATGCCTTGTTGTGCTGCTTCATGTTCTGCTGTTCTTTTCCTGAGATAAGCCTGGATTTCTTCCCATCTTCTCTCTGCTTCCTGCTGCTGGACCTTCACATTGAAGAGAGAGTTGATGAAAAGAAGTCTAACCTTTAATTTATTTTTGAAACATTCAGACTGCATCTCTTCGGTGCTATTCCCAAAACATATGGCAATGAAGTAAAATTGTTTCTTGTTTCCATTAGGGCACATCAGAGAGACAGAGTGCCCTGTAATCCTCCTCCTAGAGCAGTTTAGCCTATTAATTTAAAAAGCAAATTGTGAACAGGATTTCATTATAGGCTCTTAACAGGATGGTTTCTGTAATACGAAAGCATAACATCTTTGCCCTGCAAGCTCAGAATTAACACTAGAAGCCAGACTAGCCATGCATCACATAAATCTGCATCTAGTAATTAAAACATGTCTCAACTTTAGATACCAATTCTCCACCTGCAAGGGCTAGAGGCAGGGAAAACTTCTGGTAATTAAGATTTAATTGCAAACATGAAAAAAGTAATAAGCTCTGGTTTGGCGCTCTCACCCAAAACCACTACATTTCTCTTCTGAAAAACAATTAATACAAAAGACCTTTTCTTCCAAAGAAAATAGATGGAACCAGAAGTCGGTCCATTTACATTTTAACTCTTAAAAAATTATATTTATTTAAACATTTAAGCATACATTTAAGCAAAAGGATGTAGTCTCAAATAAAAAATCATGCAAGGACAACACCACCTGGATGAATGACTCCAAAACATCAAATCTTGCTAGAACTGTATGCTCATAGAAAGCCAAGGTCAACATCAGCAGTTAAGCTTTTTAAAGATATTTACCTGGAAGGGTAAGTTTCACTTCATAGGGAGGTTTGTAAACACTCAAAACCCAGAGTGCTGAATAAAACCATTAAATAAGCCCACAGGCTGGCTCAGTCTATCCGAAAATAGATACTTACACATATAAAAAAAGACAGAGAGGTTTAGCGGCCAGGGAGCCAGCTAAAGCGATTCCCACGCACCTCGCATCCCACCCGACTCGGAACTTGGCTCGGATAAAGCCTCGAGCACAACTTGACAGGCCCAGAAAACCCAAGTCACCTTTAGCTGAGCCACTGCCTGCTCCGCATTCTTCTTCTGGAGCTCCTCTTGCTGCAGCTTACTGCTCTTCTCCCCCAGCTCGTTCACCAGCCTCGCGTAATCCTGGCGCAGTTTGTTCAGTTCAGCCGACTGCCTGAAGAGAAACGTTTTCACGGCTTTAAGAGAAGCGTAAGCCATAACAACAGCTACTCAAATACAAACATCAAGTCCTGCATTTGCAGCCAGTGGGCTGCACTGGGTGGTGGGTTGGGGTTTTCCCCCCCCCCCCATACTGCCTCATCCTAGGAAAGGGAGGAGGGTCAGGTACTCTTGGCCGTCAGCACAGCAGCTACACCCCACCGAGTCGGAAACAAAAGGTCAGCAGTAAGCCACAAGCATCCGTTCCTTTAAAACATTTGCAGGCTGATGGGCATAATTTGGACAGGTTTATATATAAACTAAAGAGGCTCAGCATAAGGGAAGGTCTCACACAGAAATTCACATTTCTTTCCTCTTCCCATAAACCATTCTTGATCTCAGACTTACTCAAGACTACTCCTCCTGGATTACTAACCACACACATCTCTTCGGACTACACGGTATCTCCTGGCCTTCACTTATCTACTAACTTACAAAGGTATCTGATGCACTCTCTCACTTAGGGAGAAAAGATGTAAGAATTTTTAAAGGCTCCCCATATTATTTTAAGTTTGCCTGAATTAAGGATTTTCCAAGATAACTGTCTAAGAGACAATGATGGCTCATTTCTACAAACAGGACGCCTAAAACCAGGGTACCAGTACCCTTCTCCGAGCGCTTGTTCTATCGACCTGCCCTGGCAGGATAGGCACAGGGAGCAGAACACGCCTCTGCTGAGTGCACTTGGCAGTGCAGAAGCTGTTAACAGAATGGCCCACGTAGAAGCACCACCTCTGCAAGAACAGCATAGCCCAAAAAGAAAGATACAGAGCCCCTTCCAAGTCCTGACAGTGGTTTTGACGTTCTATTCTCCAACAGTAACAAATATCCAAGAGCACATAAAGTGCTGGTTTTGCTTTCTACAGGCAGAAACCCACTGGCAGCGATTCACCCATCTGGCAATGCGCCTTACCGGGGCACTCAGCTTTTACCGCAATACACGCAGCCCTCTCCTCCAGCTGAGGGGCATCCTAACTCATAACTCACAGAAGAGGAAACTTAAGAGACCCCTTTTTTGTTTCTCCAAACACCGGCAGCTACATCCAAGTGCCACCCCAGCAGTATTGTTAACTGCAGGGCATGGATATTTTTCCTTACTGATTTGTAAGTTTAGAGCTGTTGTTCTCCCAAGAGGCCACCATCAGCATTTCTTCTGAAGCCCCAGGGGAAGGGAAACATACCCTGCCAAAAACACCAACTGTGGCCGAGCCCTTCTGCACTTCTTTCTGTTAAAGCCTCAGCACCTACTCTCTAAAAACTCAGGCTTCAGACCGATACAGACAGTTATCTGTTTTGAAAGCCTTGGCTCAATGCAAATAGGTGCCTCCCCAGCACAAAATATCTGTGTTCCTAGTTTAACCACAAATTCAGCGACAGCCAAGGAGATAGCAACAAAAGGAGCACAAGCCAGAACAACTCTTTAGGGAAGGCTTAAAAAAAGCAAAACACAGAGCTCTGAGTAGCTGCTAACATACTTGCTCTCCATTTGATTGGTAGAAGTACTGACAGCATCTCTCAGGATACCGTTTTCCTGCTTCAGGTGGCTTATTTCTGCCTCCATCTGCTCACGGAGTTGCTGGAACTGATGGGGAAAGAAAGATCAA